CCATGTTTTAAGTATATATACATATTGAGTTCTTAAAGCTTATACAAAACTTTTGATGAGGTAATAATGAATACTGTAATAATATATTATGTTATAAATAAATTGTGTGAAACTTAGGATTTTTATGTTTTTTTTTTAATCGAAGCATCCACCTCCACATTTTTTGATGTCGTAACCCGGACAAACAACGGGTACCTCAGTTTCTTACTACATATTCCTAGAACATAATAAACTTTTGTTTTTAAATATGGCAAATAACTTCTAACATTGTTGCTTAAAATATGTCAGGAAACAGCTTTATATATTTCCACGAGGAGGGACGTTGTAACAATATATTTCCAAATTAAGCTAATTAATAGTATTAGTTTTCAACTGACACTCCTAACAGTAGCTTTTATTTAACTACGTTAAGGTTATCTGCGCACAGTTGTCTGTAATTTTGAATTGATAGGCTAAACAGCTAACAATAGCTCCAACTGCAAACTCTTGCACAATTCTTATCTGGCCAACTCGTGGAATTTGACCGTCACTCTTACAGCGCACCCACGATTCCAAAGTATGGAACGCGTTTTTAAAGTACCGAGACGCGAACACGTAGATTCACTGTCCTGGCATACTTAAGTCTTAGGCCACCCCAGGCCTCTGTCTGAAATGAACAAAACGTAAAATAGGAGTATCTATCTGGATTAACAATTCAATAAATATCCTAAATTAACAGAATAATTAGTTGTTTAACAGTTGTTGTAAAATGGTAATGTACGTAAACTACGCGTTACGCATTATTATATAAATATCATCATTTTTAAGTTTCCACTTGTCTGAATGCGTCCTTGCAGATTTGAACTTTAATAACTGCTTTAATACACCGCTAAATCTATTGATCTTTATGTGCCATTGGTCCAAAAATGTAGTTATATATTTTGCAGTGGCCATTTTTTTCCCTTACTAATTGAGCAATGCTACCAAATTAAAGTTTTTTCTCTATTTTCCAGGTCTATAATACCTCTATTTCACAGTTTAATGAAACATAATTTATCTGAATGATACTACTATATATATATATATATTATAACTGTTTCTAATTATGATTTTCGAAAATTCCATCACAGGACTAGAGATCTTGCTTGACAAGTTGGACGAAAGTTCCACAGATATAGACATAACTGTGAAAGGATACAAGGTCTTAATACACTCTCCGAATGTTACTCCAGATGTGGAAAATGATGGTGTTCTTATTGAGCCAGATTCAACAACTTATATTGCACTGGAAAAGGTTTGTTTCTCCTCTATATGTTAAATTACTCTTATGTGTTCTGGTAATACGCTGTCATAAATGGTTAAAGATCCACGTGTTTACAGTAAATTTCTGAGTTGTAAACTGATCAATTTGAGCTTACTAGATGGCTCAGATACTTAGAGAAGAAACGATTAATGATGTACCTTTTCACGACCCATGGTAACGATAGAATGATGAGTGCTTAGAGATTAGAACCCTTCATCAACCACCACTGATGCTCTATGTGATGATTATGATCACTGACTACTGGTTTGTAGCAAAGTTTTCACTGTTGTTGAGAGTTGTATCAGAAACATATAATGTTCTTCGATTGGACCTTTTATTAACTGGCTCCTCCACCTCCTTCATCTTTACTTAGAACACCTTTACGGGATGATCATAACACATCTGATGAGGGCTCCTCAACTGTTAAACCTTCAAGTGTTATTTCCATTACCTCCACCAGTGGTCCCCCACCAGCACACCAGAGCTCAACAAGTAGGGTTCCAGTTACTACTAGAACGCTTGATCTAAGAGTTAAACCCACCTCAACACATTCTGGTACCACTTGTGTAAACACTACATCCTCAAATCCAGAATCCTTTGGGTCATCTTCAGCTCCCATAGATCTTGTTTTGGAGATTCTTCTTCATTTAATCCACTTCATTTGTTGCCAGTGTACTCTGACTGCTCTTATTATTATCTTGTTCAACTGTTTTATATGTGTGTGTTCTTGTGATACAGCTTGTCCTTCATGTTTTTAATCCCACCTTATCTACATCCTTGTGGTTTCTTTCCTTTTAGACTCTACTTTTTCTACTTTGTCTGTTAATGCTTAATTATTTTGCAGTTAGGATAAAAAAAATATATATTTTTTTCTCACACGATTCCTTTGTTGGAGAACATTGATGGCTCTGTCATTCTGTCTTCCCTGAAATTTTGGCTTTGTAGTATGATTATTATTTATCTTAATCCATTAGGAATCTCTCCAATCTGTATTTGTGGATATTTCTCATCCGGGCACTTCACTAATATTGTGTCTGTGCCAATCTGTCCACCGTTATAATCTTAGATGTTCTTTCCAAGATGGTGGTATATAATGCTATCATCCTTATAGTTGACGTGAGCAGGCTTTTTTAAAGTGTATGTGTCTGTTAAAACTGACTTCTGAAGAGAGTTTATATCACTCCGTTTCACCGTCTGCTTCGCGGGTTTTGTGTTAGTCTGCAATTAATTGTAAGCGTATGACACCTAATATATTTAGTATATGTAGCTGTCCCTTCATGTGATCTTACGGCCAGATCACTATATTTTATTGGTATAGCATAGTACATTATGCACTTCTTGTAGTTACTAGGCCCAAAGCCGTGCAACGTGTTATTGAATGCTATCTGAGGGTAATTACAATGTCTTTGGACCCAAATTCCTGATCTGCTCTCTTCTCTCCTAAGCCCAACCTTTTTTATGTGGATTTTAGTGATATTTCTGCATTTAATTTGAATGTTTATTTATGAAATAAAAATGAATTTCAAGTACAGTCTTAATTGTAAACATATAACCATCCTTGCATTCTACTCATTTATATGCATATGCGAACACATGGGAGAGAACAGTTAGTTGAAGATGTGTTATCATTCTGGACGTAATATCATTAACGTAACATATTAAAGGTCAGAAAAACACTTACGCGAACGTTCAGTGGAATTTAGTGGAATTTTTTAATTTTCCAAAATGGTAAATGCTGTATTTTTACAGAGCGTGTGCCTAGGTATAAAATGTACTCATTCACCCTAATCCAAATACACTGAAAGCTCCAATATCAGTATCAATACTTCACCACAAAATTCAACCACTGAGAAAAATCTGACGTTTCAGCTGTAAAGTGTTGTGAGAACAAATGATTAAAAAGAAGTTGAACGCAAGAATGGTGATCATTCAGTAAAGCTAATTGCTGAAAGAAATTATATTGATTATAGGGATTAATCGTTTTAATTAATAAGCTCAGAGATTTTTAAGCAAATGAATTTCTTAAGGTTAATATATACGTCATTGTTAGTAACATAAAAAAACTTACTGAAGAAATATCATAAGAAAAAAATAAAATATATGCATTTTGAATCACTTTGATTTCGACTTATGTGTTAGTACATATTTGATTTTCACATATGTTTGAGTTGCGGCGCTGCAGTTCCTTGTACCAATGATGAGACTTTGAGTGATTTTCACGCATATATTTAAGTTGTGGCGCTGCAGTTTTCTTGTACCGACAATGAGACTTTGAGTGATTTTCACATATGTTTGAGTTGTGGCGCTGCAGTTTTCTTGTACCAATGATGAGACTTTGAGTGATTTTCACATGTGTTTGAGTTGTGGCGCTGCAGTTTTCTTGTACTAATGATGCGACTTTGAGTGATTTTCACATATGTTTGAGTTGTGGCGCTGCAGTTTCTTGTACCAATGATGAGACTTTGAGTGATTTTCACATATGTTTGAGTTGTGGCGCTGCAGTTTTCTTGTACCAACGATGAGACTTTGAGTGATTTTCACATATGTTTGAGTTGTGGCGCTGTAGTTTCTTGTACCAATGATGAGACTGTGAGTAGTACCAAGCAAATTATAATTATTATTGTTATAAAATGTCGTTGTTACAGCATTTCTGATTTTAATGTTATATTATTGTAACTTCGTATCTGTCTGTGAATAACTAGGCTGTGTCTCTGGAATGCTAACGTAAAATATGTAAACGGAACTAAATCTGAAAGGTTAGTTTATATAAAAAGATAATTAACAAGATATATACTGTTAGAAGTCCAGAACTTTAAATAAGTTAACTCGAGAGAAAGAGGTGAAATGATATATTTAGTTAAGTCTAGGATATCAAACAATAAAGCTCAATAAAAGCTAATATTTTGTTTTTATTTTCTCCAACGATCACCTTTCAACGTATGACTGAGCCATTCGTTGACAGATGTGGCCAGAACCACGTGAACATAAAGGGATACTACGATAGAGAGGTTTGTAACTTAGTAACTGAAAGGAATGTTTTCATTTACATTTATAGTGTGCTGAAATAATACTTATTTGACGATTTCTTAAATCAATTGACTAAGATTGATTGATTGATTGTTGTTAGTAACATAGCTATACAATATGCCATCTGTGCCTTTCTCATCACAGGTATCGAAACCCGGTTTCTAGAGTTATAAGCCATCAGACTTACTGCTGAGCCACTGGGAGGGAGGGAGAAAAAATAGCTGGGGTGTGATGGCTGCTAATATTTAAAAAAAAATTCTGGCTATTAACTATCTGCTGTCACTCTTATGTATTGATAATCCTTTGTGTGGCTCGAAAATATTGAAAGAAATACGTCTGTACTTGTGGTATTGGTGGGTGAAACAGGAAGATAGACGAATTCATAATAAAAGCAATGTTCACCCAGAATATATAACGGTTTTCTGAGTGATTCTTCTCTTCAGTATGAAAGTAATGGGTCTGGCCACATTTTAAACAAATGAACTAAATCTTCATTTTAACAAATAAATTGAAAACACTGTGTTTGTGTGTATATTCAAACTGACAAGCAGACAGTCGTTATCTCCTCTAGGTTGCATTCAGTCCTGTCACTATCTTTCTCTCAGGATCGATTGTCGCAAAATAAAACACGATGATATTCAAAAAAGGTAGATCCTCTCTGTAGATCGACCAGAAAAGAACTAAACAAAGAAAGCACACTTAATCTAGAGCATAAACTCACTTTCTTTGTCCAGTGGAGGATGTCACTTCTTGAACTCTGTTCCCTAACAGCATTAACTACCTGTCACTTTTAGTCAACGTCATAATCAGCCGGCAAAAGATATTCCAGCACTAACCCTTTAAATCTGGATACGTCATTTAATGCTGAAATATATTTACAGGCAAATGAGACTTCAATTTCTAAAGAGAACAAAGAAACAAAATAACTAGAACAAGGTAATTTTAACAAGTTTCTAGACCAAGCGTTGCCACCATGATATTGCAGAAACTAAATAATAAGAAATTTTGAAAATTTCCACATCACTATGTGCCCTTAATACCACAAAATTAAAGGCCCCTCCCAGACATAGGCAGTTACGTCTTGTTCCATTAAATGTATTAATATACATATCTGTCTCAAAGATGGTAAATCAGCTGAAATAAGATAAAAACACACTCACCAGTGGCTCAGTGGAATGTCCGAGGGCTTATAATGCTAAAAATTGGGTTTTAGTGCCCACAGTAGGCAGAGCACAGCTAGCCCATGGTGAAACTTTGTTCTTAACAACAAAGATACAGAGGGGGAAAAAAACAATTCCTTTATCTGTAATATCTCTCCCTAAATGTGCAGTTGTGCAATCAGCAATTATCCGTTTGTTGTTGGCATGAGGGTCGCGGGTTCGAATCCCCGTCCCACCAAAACATGCTCGCCCTTTCAAACGTTATAATGTGACGGTTAATCCTACTATTCGTTGGTAAAAACGTAACCCAAGAATTGGCGATTGGTGGTGATGAGTAGCTGTCTTCCCATTTGTTAGTTATATCTTTTGCTTAAGCACAAAGCTGTGCAATAGGTTATGTGCGCTGTTCTCACCACAGAAACCAAACCTTGTATTTTAACGTTATAAGCCCTTAAGTTTAATACTTAGCCATCTGGCAGGGGTATAGGAAGAAAAGAATAACTTGTGCATTCAAACCTTATTCCTAATCTAGTAATGACGTAGAAAAGCCGAAAAGTCCTTACATCTGTATTCTTTGATAAAAAGTTTATGTTACTAGTACCAGTCATTTCTACAATTTATTAGTTTGAAGTATGTTTCTCGGCGTTAAGTTTAAAATTACGTTATCATTTTAAATGAATTTTTTCTCATAGAATTAAAAAAAAACATTTCAAAATCATGGGTTGTCCACACTTGTTTCATTAAATGGTTTCCTAGTCATTGGACAAATTTAAAGATTGTATCAAGAAATAAATCGTATTTGTATAGAGCAAATATATGAAAGTTTTATTAGGTATCTTAACAAAGCCCCCCCCCCCCCCACCCAGTGGCACAGCGGCATGTCTGCGGACTTACAACGCTAGAATCCGGGTTTCGATACCCATGGTGGGCAGAGCT